TCTCTTCTCTGCAAGGAGGAGACTGCCCGGAGGGAGAAGCAGCAGCTGCTTGATGTGCAGAGGCAGGTTGCTCTGAAGAGTGAGGTTTGTCTCCCTCTTTTGTCCTCCTTCCTGTTTTTCCTCCATCCCCTGTCTTTCTTCTCCCTGTTCCCCATATTTTGCTCATCTGATCTGTCCGGGGCACTGGGGTTCCAAACTCTCTTGGCCAGTATTCCACAAATAGTGCCACTCTGTGGACCCCACTTGGGAACCTCAAGGGAGTGGGGCTGTGGTGGGACAGGAGCCTGCAGACCTCCTGACCTCGGAGGTGGTGACTTCAGTGGCTTTGAGTTCATCCCCAGCCCATCCTCCTCTGGCTTCCCTACCCTCTAGTGCTGCCTGCTCCCTGCTGTCTCCCTGTGCTGTCTCTGGGTGCTTCTATATTTCCTTCTGCCCCTAGGAAGCCACAGCCACCCATCAGCAGCTGGAGGAGGCACAGAAGGAGCACACCCACCTGTTGCAGTCAAACCAACAGCTCCGGAAAATTCTTGATGAGCTGCAGGCCCGCAAGCTGAAGCTGGAGTCCGAAGTGGATCTGCTACAGGCCCAGAGCCAGCAACTGCAGAAACACATCAGGTGGCATGGGCACCCTGCACTTAGCCCCGCTGACTGCCTCCTGCCTGCCCTCTGCCCTCTGACCTCTGCTGCTTGCATCATGGCCCAATTAATAGGGAGAGGTGGAGTCCCAGCTTGGGAGCTAGGCAGAAGAGCCTGTGGCTACATTTTGTAGGGAGTTGGGGTTGTTAAGATGGTGTGAAAAGCAGGGGATCTCTGGTGCTATTGTTCCTCAGGGACTTTGATGGGTGGGAGTGAGGGGGTGGAGATGGTTCTGACCCACTTCACCCCCCACCTCTGCCACCGCCCTGCCTCTCACTCCCCTCTCCCTGCTCAGCAGCCTGGAGGCTGAAGCTCAAAAGAAGCAGCACCTGTTGAGAGAAGTGACAGTTGAGAAAAATAATGTTTCCCCACATTTTGAGCCGGATCTCCACATTGAGGACCTGAGGAAATCCCTTGGGACAGTGAGCTGGGGGCGGGGGTACCAGGAGGGGGTGGGGCATTGGGAGGGGCTAGGCATCAGGGGAGTAATTCCAGAGGGGATGGGTCATCCGGAGGGGTGGAACCTCAGGAAGGGAGGAGTATATGGTGGGCTGAGGTATCAGGAGGGGCTGGTTCTGCTCTCTGTGGGACCTGGTCTGTTCTTATTCCCAGCTACCAGTCGTCTCCACCAGTCAGATGATATCTATAAGTAAACAGTGCCTGGCAGCTGGAGAGCCATCTCCCTGTCTAGACCACTGGGAGGAGCTTTGGGGTCTTGAACCTGCAGGGTATCTGCTTTTGCTACACTCAGTGGACTTTTCTACCATGTGTCCCTAGAACCAGACCAAAGAGGTGTCTTCTTCTCTCTCCCAGAGCAAGGAGGACTTATACTTGAACAGGTGAGTTCCCATAGCCTGTCTTATTTCAGGTTAGGGTACCATGAAGGGGTAAGTGAGTACCTGCATCGTAGAGCTGGGTGAGCTGAAGTGAGGAGACAGTGATCACCAGTGGGGCTTAGTTCGTGGGGAAGGTTCTGGAGGATTAAGCAATCTTCTCTGGCAAGCCAAGAAACTGCCCACTGTGATCTTTGACATGGCATTCTTTTCTAGTGGAGAAACAGATTGCTGGAAGTGTCTGGTCATCTATCTGGAGGCCCCGGGCACGATCCCTCTCAGAGTTAGGGTGGGGGCACTGTCAGTCCCAGGCACTGCACACTGTGGGTATTGAACAGCGGCATCCCTACACTCACAGTGCCCAGCCCCAGCCCAGCAGCTCTGGTCTGTGCTCAGGGTGGGCATCTGCTGGGGAAGTGGCTATGTGACCCAGAGCAGAGTTCTCAGAGGCTTCTGTTTTCCTTTTTCAACTCTCCTGCTCCAGCCTGTCCTCCCACAATGTCTGGCACCTCCTCTCTACTGAGGGGGTAGCCCTCCGTAGTGCTAAGGAGTTCCTTGTGCGGCAGACACACTCCATGCGGAGGCGGCAGACAGCTCTGAAAGCTGCCCAGCAGCATTGGCGCCATGAGCTGGCCAGTGCGCAGGAGGTGGCCAAAGACCCACCAGGCATCAAGGCCCTGGAAGATATGCGCGAGAACCTGGAGAAGGTCAGGAGCTTTGGGAAGAACCTGCCAGCCCTGTGTGTGGGAGGTGGGGAGAGTTAGCAAAACACTCCTTTGGGCTCCCCCTCAGTTGGTCATTCTCGGGACTCCATGAGAGTGGCCACCTTGGCACTGGGTCACTTATATTTCCATGGCAATGCATAGCATGCAAACATCTTTTCTAGTAGTAAATAATTTGAACCTCATGATAACTGTATTAGTCCGTTTTCATGCTGCTGATAAGGACATACTTGAAACTGGGAAGAAAAAGAGGTTTAATTGAACCTACAGTTCCACATGGCTGGGGAGGCCTCAGAATCATGGCAGGAGGTGAAAGGTACTTCTTACATGGTGGTGGCAAGAGAAAATGAGGAACAAGCAAAAGCAGAAACCCGTGATAAACCCATCAGGATCCTGTGAGACTTATTCACTATCACGAGAACAGTATGGGGGAAATGGCCCCGTGATTCAAATTATCTCCCACCAGGTCCCTCCCACAACACATGGGAATTATGGGAGTACAGTTCAAGATGAGATTTGGATTGGGACACAGCCAAACCCTATCATTCCACCTCTTGCCCCTCCATATCTCATGTCCTCACATTTCAAAACCAATCATGCCTTCCCAACAGTCCCCCAAAGTCTTAACTCATTTCACCATTAACCCAAAAGTCCACAGTCCAAAGTCTCATCTGAGACAAGGCAAGTCCCTTCTGCCTATGAGCCTGTAAAATCAGAAACAAGCTAGTGACTTTCTAGATACAGTGGGGGTACAGGCATTGGGTAAATACAGCCATTCCAAATGGGAGAAATTGGCCAAAAACAAAGGAGTTACAGGGCCCATGCAAGTCTGAAATCCAGTGGAGCAGTCAAATTTTAAAGCTCCAAAATGATCTCCTTTGACTCCATGTCTCACATCCAGGTTACACTGATGCAAGAGGCAGGTTCTCATAGTCTTTGGCATCTCCGCCCCATGGTTTTGCAGGGTACAGCCCACTTCCCGGCTGCCTTCACAGGTTGGCATTGAGTATCTGTGGCTTTTTGAGGTGCACAGTGCAAGCTATTGATGGATCTACCATTCTGGGGTCTGGAGGATGGTGGCCCTCTTCTCACAGCTCCACTAGGCAGTGCCTCAGTAGGGACTCTGTGTGGGGGCACTGACCCCACATTTCCCTTCTGAACTGCCCTAGCAGAAGTTCTCCATGAGGGCCCCACCCCTGTAGCAGACTTTTGCCTGGGCATCCAGGTGTTTCCATACATCTTCTGAAGTCTAGGCAGAGGTTCTCAAACCTCAGTTTTTGAATTTTGTGCAGCCGCAGGCTCAACACCACGTGGAAGTTGCCAAGATATGGGGCTTGCACCCTCTGAAATCATGGGCCAAGCTGTACCTTGCCCCCTTTTAGCAATGGCTGGAGCAGCTGGGATGCAGGGCACCAAGTCCCTAGGCTGCACACAGCATGGGAACCCTGGGGAAACCATTTTTTCCTCCTAGGCCTCTGGGTCTGTGATGGGAGGGGCTGCCATGAAGACCTATGACATGTCCTGGAGACATTTTCCCCATTGTCTTGGGGATTAACATTTTGCTCCTTGTTACATATGCAAATTTCTGCAGCTAGCTTGAATTTCTCCTCAAAAAAACGGGTTTTTCTTTTCTTTCTTCTCTTTTTTTAAATTATACTTTAAGTTCTGGGGTACATGTGTAGAACATGCAGGTTTGTTACATAGGCATACACGTGCCATGGTAGTTTGCTGCACCCATCAACCTGTCATCTACATTAGGTATTTCTCCTAATGTTACCCTTCCCTAGTCCCCCACCCTCACAGGCCCTGGTGTGTGATGTTTCCTTCTCTGTCCATGTATTCTCATTGTTCAACTCCCACTTATGAGTGAGAACATGCAGTGTTTGGTTTTCTGTTCCTGTGTTAGTTTGCTGAGAATAGTAGTTTCCAGCTTCATCCATGTCCCTACAAAGGACATGAACTCATCCTTTTTTATGGCTGCATAGTATTCCATGGTGTATATGTGCCACATTTTCTTTATCCAGTCTATCATTGACTGTCTCTTATACACATCTAGATGTGTATAAGAGACAGCCTGCAGGGTGTTAAGACTACTGCTCCAGTAACTGGAACCAGTATCCCAGACTCTTTCTAGGATCTTTTCCAGGGCAGAAATAGCAGTCCCATGACGAAATTTGCTGCATCCCTTCCCCCAACCAATTATGACCATGCTGAAGAACAGTGATACTTTATCAGTGACCTCTCATTCCTTAAGGAGGAAAAGTTGTGTATGGTGGAGCCATAGGAGAGCCAGAGGGGGATTCCGTCATGGTATCTGGCCAGCCTCTGCTTCAGCCGTAGAGGGCCGCAGGCTTGCTGGGGTCAGGGCCGGTGCTGTGCTTGTAACCCTCCTCTTCTCCAAGAGCTGGCTTTAGGGAACCGACGGTGTCCCTGATCTTATTGACGCAAGGCTGCAGGGCTGCGGGAGCTGTGATTTTTGTGGTGGAAGGGGCCGCCGCAGCTTCCCACCAGTGGGCCCATCCTCCCTGCAGGAGAGGAAGCAGCGGGCTGAACTTCTGGGGCACCTGACCGGAGAGCTGGAGCGCCTACAGAGGGCCCATGAGCGAGAATTGGAGACTGTGAGGCAGGAGCAACACAAGCGTCTTGAGGACTTGCGGCGCCGGCACAGGGAGCAGGTGAGGGGCCTGGGGCAGGGTGAGCCCACTGTGACCCCTCCATGCACAGTAAGAAGGTGCTGGGAGCAAACGCGTGGCCCCAGCAGGATGGAGCCTGACAGCTTCTGGAGTGCGAGTCTCTCACTGGCCATCTCCAAGCTGGGGCATCCTTGCTGCTTTGTTTTCTGGGCCAGGGAACACACCCAGGATTAGAACTAGAGGTCAGCCCCTGTAAGGCATTGGGGTTGGCACCTTCGCGTCTCCTTGCTCCAGCAGGAAGTAAACAAGGTGCGGAGCCTTCCTGGGAGGCTGCAGGGGCACACAGCGAGGAAGCCTGAGCCCAGAGTGGAGGTTGCGGTGTGGCATGGTGGGTTCTGGAACCCCCTCCTGCCCCTCAGCTAATGCCTTACACTCTTTCTGTGCTTATGTCTTTCTCTTTCTGGGCAGGAAAGGAAGCTCCAAGATTTAGAGTTGGACCTTGAAACCAGAGCTAAAGATGTCAAGGCCAGATTGGCTCTGCTGGAGGTCCAGGTGAGGGATCTGCGGGAGTCCTTGACCTCAGAGTCATAGCTCCTCTAGCACAGGGCAGGCCCAGCCCCTCAGACCTGGGGTCTGCAGTCAGCCAGAAAATCCTATCTCTTCTCTGCAAGGAGGAGACTGCCCGGAGGGAGAAGCAGCAGCTGCTTGATGTGCAGAGGCAGGTTGCTCTGAAGAGTGAGGTTTGTCTCCCTCTTTTGTCCTCCTTCCTGTTTTTCCTCCATCCCCTGTCTTTCTTCTCCCTGTTCCCCATATTTTGCTCATCTGATCTGTCCGGGGCACTGGGGTTCCAAACTCTCTTGGCCAGTATTCCACAAATAGTGCCACTCTGTGGACCCCACTTGGGAACCTCAAGGGAGTGGGGCTGTGGTGGGACAGGAGCCTGCAGACCTCCTGACCTCGGAGGTGGTGACTTCAGTGGCTTTGAGTTCATCCCCAGCCCATCCTCCTCTGGCTTCCCTACCCTCTAGTGCTGCCTGCTCCCTGCTGTCTCCCTGTGCTGTCTCTGGGTGCTTCTATATTTCCTTCTGCCCCTAGGAAGCCACAGCCACCCATCAGCAGCTGGAGGAGGCACAGAAGGAGCACACCCACCTGTTGCAGTCAAACCAACAGCTCCGGAAAATTCTTGATGAGCTGCAGGCCCGCAAGCTGAAGCTGGAGTCCGAAGTGGATCTGCTACAGGCCCAGAGCCAGCAACTGCAGAAACACATCAGGTGGCATGGGCACCCTGCACTTAGCCCCGCTGACTGCCTCCTGCCTGCCCTCTGCCCTCTGACCTCTGCTGCTTGCATCATGGCCCAATTAATAGGGAGAGGTGGAGTCCCAGCTTGGGAGCTAGGCAGAAGAGCCTGTGGCTACATTTTGTAGGGAGTTGGGGTTGTTAAGATGGTGTGAAAAGCAGGGGATCTCTGGTGCTATTGTTCCTCAGGGACTTTGATGGGTGGGAGTGAGGGGGTGGAGATGGTTCTGACCCACTTCACCCCCCACCTCTGCCACCGCCCTGCCTCTCACTCCCCTCTCCCTGCTCAGCAGCCTGGAGGCTGAAGCTCAAAAGAAGCAGCACCTGTTGAGAGAAGTGACAGTTGAGAAAAATAATGTTTCCCCACATTTTGAGCCGGATCTCCACATTGAGGACCTGAGGAAATCCCTTGGGACAGTGAGCTGGGGGCGGGGGTACCAGGAGGGGGTGGGGCATTGGGAGGGGCTAGGCATCAGGGGAGTAATTCCAGAGGGGATGGGTCATCCGGAGGGGTGGAACCTCAGGAAGGGAGGAGTATATGGTGGGCTGAGGTATCAGGAGGGGCTGGTTCTGCTCTCTGTGGGACCTGGTCTGTTCTTATTCCCAGCTACCAGTCGTCTCCACCAGTCAGATGATATCTATAAGTAAACAGTGCCTGGCAGCTGGAGAGCCATCTCCCTGTCTAGACCACTGGGAGGAGCTTTGGGGTCTTGAACCTGCAGGGTATCTGCTTTTGCTACACTCAGTGGACTTTTCTACCATGTGTCCCTAGAACCAGACCAAAGAGGTGTCTTCTTCTCTCTCCCAGAGCAAGGAGGACTTATACTTGAACAGGTGAGTTCCCATAGCCTGTCTTATTTCAGGTTAGGGTACCATGAAGGGGTAAGTGAGTACCTGCATCGTAGAGCTGGGTGAGCTGAAGTGAGGAGACAGTGATCACCAGTGGGGCTTAGTTCGTGGGGAAGGTTCTGGAGGATTAAGCAATCTTCTCTGGCAAGCCAAGAAACTGCCCACTGTGATCTTTGACATGGCATTCTTTTCTAGTGGAGAAACAGATTGCTGGAAGTGTCTGGTCATCTATCTGGAGGCCCCGGGCACGATCCCTCTCAGAGTTAGGGTGGGGGCACTGTCAGTCCCAGGCACTGCACACTGTGGGTATTGAACAGCGGCATCCCTACACTCACAGTGCCCAGCCCCAGCCCAGCAGCTCTGGTCTGTGCTCAGGGTGGGCATCTGCTGGGGAAGTGGCT